GTGATGCCAATACTTCTTTTCATGGTTGAAATCATGGTGCACACTATGTATGTGGGGTTTTCTATTCCACTTTTTCTCTTAATAGAACATCACTGAACCTTTCTCATTATGTCACATAGGCTTCAAAATACTTCTTGTGATTATAAAACACTTCCTCGTGTTCTGTATTGCTGCACATATGTTTTGAGTTCATCATCAGAGATAATGCTTCATGGAGCATCTTCATGTCTATACACTTTCTGATCTCTTGTTTCTGTAGGATAGATGGCCAGGAGCAAGATCACTGGATCAGATAGTAGTGATACTTTGTTTTCCCAAAAGAAGCAAAACAAGAAAGAAGAAAAATTATTATTTACACAAAACACAGAAAGCTGAGGAAGTTCCAATAGGTCAGCACTCAGAAAAATTGTAAATGGATTAAGGTTTTCTATTAGAAGTTGGAAAGTCTCAAGTTAAATTTCGAAAAGCAGAGGCATGGATGTCATGTTTGAATAGGTATATCTAACAGAATGACCCAGAAAAATTGAAAGTAAAGATGAAAAAACATGTCCTAATTCTAACCAGTGGAAACTGTTAAAACAATAATACTACACAAAACAAACATAAGAAAGTAATATTGGGCACAGAATGCTAAGAAAATATTACATGCATATGTGCTTTCCTAATAATACTGATTTCATATATACACAAGAATTGTCCAACTTATGTGGAGAATTTAGCAACTTCTTCATTATAAGGAAAGATTTTTTTTTTGCTTAAATTATTTTATTGGTACGTTTTAGGTGTACAATATGTTTACATTTCTCATTGGGTGCTTGTACCTGTGCATGATGTATCTTGGTTCTTGTACCCTTCATCCCCTCCACCCTTCCCTATTTACATAGACTTTGCTGCCATTTTTTTCTTTTACTGGATAAAGAAGATGTGGAGTTTTTTTATAAAATGGAGTACTACTCAGCCATAAAGAATGAGAAACTTGAGACATTTAGAGCTCAATGAATGCACATTGAGGCCATACTCTTCAGTGAAATAAATAAGACACACGTGTAAATACCAAATAGTTTCTCTAGTGTGAGAAACTGAAAGTGTAAATAAGGATTAAAATGATTAAAATGAATAATTGATAATTTGAAATAGGAAGAAAAGGTCCAAAGGGGTAGTGGAAATGGGAGGGGAAGGGGAAAGGAAAGAAGGGAAAAGAAAAATAAGGAAAAAAATTTAACTTAATACTCTCAGAAGTGGATTGCTCAAGCTGAAAAATTAGGAAAATATAGAAAATTTGAGCAGTGGGCACTGTATAACTTAATAGGCATACAAAACTGTGTTTTAGAGAAAGAGTACATATTGACTACGGCACACATGGAATATTATAAAAATTGGCCATGTTTCATGCTCCAAAAAGTCTCAACATATTCCAAAGAATGATATAACAAGTAACATGATTAAATTCTGAAAAATTTCAAAAGCAGAGCAAATAATATAAGAAAGGATGTATATTTGGAATATTTTTAGCAGTAGCTTTCAATTGGGAATGCTTTATTGTTCATAATTAGATGTATGGGTTAAAACATATACATAAAGTGAGTGAATTAGTTGTGCTCTATCACCATGCATAATTAACATAATATTGCATAGAAAAATCAAGTTCAAGAAGGACCTATGTCAGTGGTGGCAAACCTGTGGCATGCATACTGTTTTTCTTTTAAGGCAAAAGATGTTAAAGTATGAGCTGTTTTTTCTAAACTAAAAACCTCAGTATTCAGTTTTAATTGGAGTGTTGGGACTTTGCAATGAATAAGTGGGTTTTAGGTTGCAGTTTAGTCACTCACCTCTAAACAGTTTGCCATCACTAAACTATACAGCGAGATATAATTTATATAAAATTAAAAATGTAAAATAATATAGCTGAGCATGGTGATGCACATCTGTAACCGCAGCACTCTGGAAGGCTGAGACAAGAGGATTGCAAACTAGGGCCCAGCCTAGGCAACTTAGCATTCAGTGAGACTATCTCAAACCAAAAATGGGGTTGTGAAGATGTAGCTTAGTGTAGACATCTGGCTTCAATCCCTACTACCACACATACACACAAAGGAGAGTATCGTGTTGTATATAACTCTTGGATATAATCATGCATAGTGCAATTTTATTAGTTAGCATGTTACATTATGTTAATAACTACTTTTTAGTAGATAACATATAATGCTTTAATATAGTACCTGTTTAAATAACCGATATTCATGTTTATTTAATTATGTATAAAATTATTTAATATATAATTATTTAAAGTAACTTTTATTATGTTAACAACATAAAATAATTATGAAGAAAGAATAGTCATTTATCTTTGTGGAGGAAGAAAGGAGAATGGAAAAAGTGATGGAAGAGGCCAAAGAGATTTCTGCAATACTTCTAATATTTTCTTTTAAAAACTTAAAAAAAATTGTTAATTCTGCATGCTGGGGACCTAGGAGCATGTTTTATTACTCTGTTTTTTTCTGTTTGAGATATTTCATTGTAAACCAAAGTTTGTATTACTTGCCAGCCTGTAGTTTGTATTTTAGTTTCAATATTTTGGTTTTCTTATTTTTTGTTGTGTAAGAGTTCTTCTTTTTTTTTTTTTGGTATTGAGAATCAAACTCAGGCCTCATGCTTGCCAGACAGTTGCTATACTGCTGAGCTGCATTCCCAGTTGTGTATAAAAGTTCTTTATGTTTAACATTCCAAACTGAATTTCTTTCATTTTTCTTGGAGCTACTTATACTTAAAAAGTGACTTGATTTTTCATCTTCCATTCTCAAAGTTTATTCATTGTTTCTATTCTTACTTTTTTCTCCTTGGGTCCCAAGAGTTTCAGTCATGAATGTTAAAGAAAAAAGAATTACAGAGTCATTTTTCCCTAGGGATCTTCAATTTAAATTTGTGATGCAAACCTGCTCTTACCATTGACTCAGCTCTGGATTGAGATTGCTGTTCAGTGAGAATTGCCCAGGTCTCAAGAAAAAAGATGTTTTATTCTCCTTTTACTTTTCAGTCTAGTAACACATGCATCCATATTGAGGATCTCTGGTGTGCCCAACACAGTGCCTCAAATCCAGAGCATTGTGGACCACAGACATTCAGAATAAGGGCATGTTTTGTCCTCAGGAAGGGTGACCAGCTGCTTGTGACAGTCAGTACAGCACTGTGGCAAGTTTCTGCCTCCCACAAAAAGGCAGCAAGAGAGTCTGGAGCAGGTAATGAAGCCCTGTGATCATATTTAGCTTTTCTCCACCAGGGGCCTGCCTTGGATGAGCCAGCCCACTTCTGGTCCTCCTCCCTATTCAGGGCCCTGTGGCTCAGGGTGGGACTCAGAGGGGCTCATCCCCCACACTCCTTGAGCCATTACCATGCCTCTACACTCTGTGTGCCTGGCTACGTGGCTTTACCTGGCCAACTCTTATGTCCAGGAGGTCTGGGACCTGTCTGCTGCATGCCCTCTCCTCTGTTCCCGCAGAAGGAGGGAATGGGTGACAGAGTCACCTTTGAGGAGGGAAGCTGTGTTTACTGTACAAAGAAACCACCATGAATATATGAAGAAACTAAATAATAACAAAGGTGATATGAGTATTTCAGAGATATACACATAAGATTCCTGTAATTGTGATGGATTTAGTTTTCAGACCTCTCCACACATCTTTAATGGGGACAGGGGTGAAGAAATGGGCCAGGACCTAAACTTCTGTTTTGTTTTCCTTCTAACATACTTTATTAAGACATTGTCCACAAATTAGGAGAAATCTTGTTTACCACTAATAGGATAGTACTTATTTTGCAACATAAGTAAAAAGGACCAAAAGGAATTTGGCGCCATAACTCTGATGAATTCCAGAGCTACTGGTTTCTAGTAATGTACTTTCAAACTACACTGTTATTTAGTACTGAAAGCTTTCATTAAGAATGCCAAATCTAATAATAGCTTCTAAAATGATCCAAACAAGCACACTATGTTTAACTCCTCCTATGTTCACACAAACAAACTAATTTAGCTCATTAAACATAAACCTTTCCCTGCAACTAAACATTAAGATTAAATACAGAATACTATCTTTTTTGAAACAAGGTTATTAATACCAAAGCAAACTAGAACATGAATGTTAACCGGTGAAGAACCAATCATTCTTTTTTGTTTCAAATGTTTTCTAATGTTCAGTAATTGTGTAAAGACTTTTCTATACAGGCCAATATTAACCTATTTTGTTTTATGAGAGAAATGTACAAACTGTACCCTTGATTATACCCCTGCAAATAGGGCACTTTCTTAGAGAAGGGGCACATTCCTGGCATACTACCAGACGACCCCAAGGAATGAATACAGCAGAAACTTCTTTGTCCATACACACTTTACAGGTTCTTTCTTCTTGCAGCCTCCTCAGTTGTTCTTCCAGTGACAGGCCTGAAACATGTTCTGTTAGAATATACTTCATATTCTTTTCCCCAAATAAGTTCTCATATAATGTAGAATCAATTTCTTTTAGACAGTTTTTGAAGACTGCCTAAAACTGCAGCATTTCCTTTAACTAAAATGGTATCAATCAGTTCTCTTGCTTGTAAAAATATTTTTGTTTTTTGTTTAATAATATCATGTTCCTGTTTATTAATTACATTGGCCTTTAAAAGATTATCCAGGACAGGAATGACATTTGTCAACCATTGAAAGAGAGCCATTCTATTCTTCTGAATTAATGACATCATCTGATGCAATTTCTTCAGCTTATCTTTCTTTCTCTTTTCTGTCATCTTCAGCATTAAAAAGTGCTGAGACAGTATCATTAACTGTTTTTGTAGTTCTCTTTGGTGGTTAGGATTTTATTCTCAACTGTCTGCTTCACCAGGCTTCTGTTAAAACCCGTTTCCAAAGCAGCTTTAACCACAGGGGTATTCATCATGATGGCATATTATTGAAGAACTTTCTCCAGGTCCAAAATGTACAATTGGTGCATCAATATTTTCTTCTCCAGGAGTGTCTGAAGTTGATAACAGTTGTTCAAGAAGATGAGGATATCTAGCTTGAATCTCATCAACAAACGCCTGCCCTTTCATGCATATCAAGAACTCACACCTTGGAAACCACTTGGCATGCTCTACTCATGGATCATCTCCAGATTCCCAGCACCTCAAACAGCCATCACAACAAAAGCATTTGACATCATCATTGCAACCAACATAATAAAAACCAGCACTTGCAAGCTGCTCAGGCTGAACTGGAACAGTAGATGGCCAGTATATAAATGTTCTCATTCAAGCTGTGTCTGCATGCTCAGATTTGAAATACTAAATCTCAGCATTTCCAGAGAATTTTCCAAAAATGGGCAGTTGGGAAAATGTCTCTGATGTTCTGACATGGCATCATCCTTTGGCTCCCAGTTACTCAGCTTTCCACCGCAGGCAGAGCAGGCAACCCTACCTCCAGGTCCTGTATAATAAAAACCAGCTTTTGCCAAGTCTAATGGTGACAAAAGGTTAATGGCCATATTCTGTAAGTAAAAATCTGGCTTCTTCAGTACTCCCGGGATAACTGTAGGGGTTAGTCCTCCCTGGAGAGAAGTCTTCCACTGCTCTGCAGTTAAGAGGGTTTGGTGAAAGGATGGAACAAAAACCACTGAATGAGCCACTGTGTTCCAAAGTAGGAGATAATGAATGTGTCAAGCTGTTTCTCACTACAGAGTTATTCTTAGAGGTGGATTGCAGGCTAGCTGAAATCAGATTCTGAATAAAGCTACATCTGGGGTATAGCTATTTATGCTTTCCAATAGGATTGTCTCCTTGTTTCCAATTATCCAGCTTCAGGCCACAACAGAAGCTTTTGACTTTGTATTTCACACCAGTGTAATAGAAACCAGCATGAACAAGACTTCTTTCTGAAACAGGAACACAACTGGGAAAAGCTGAATATGTAGACATTCTGTAGAGTTCACATGAAAAGTCATACTTCATTTTTTGTTTGCTGTCATTTGTCCAATTTGGCAAGATTGTGCTCTCTTCCATTATAGTTTTAATTTTTTGATATGAGGGACCTTGGACAACTCTTTGGGAGGTAGTTTTGTTCATGAGTGCATGAGAGAAGTTTTTCATGGCTAAAAGTTTTCGCATAAAATTTCTCATCTCTTCACACTTAGATTTTTACCACAAAAAAGGGATCAAATGAGAGACTCCTACTTATGTAGAATTCACTACACCTTCTTTATAGAATTTATAACTGAGTATACACTCAGGTATGATGAATCACTCTCCTAAATTACCGAGATACTACTTAGCACTCTCTGGGATGATTAACTCTTATAGGTAACCCAAATGCTATTTGCTCATAGTTTGGTGTAATAACTAACGTAAAGACCTGACACATTTTATACACTTTTGAACATATTAAAACTCTTTGATTTTTCAAAAAAGTTTATACTCTTAAAATTCTAGGTAACTATAGAATAATTAAATTATGCCTTTAATTAAATTATTATTTAATTTGGTTATAAGCTATGAAGTCTGAATATCAGGCCAATCACTGGATAAGCCACCAGAATAAAGTTATAATGTAGGCTTTTTTCCCTTATAAGCTCTTTGATATGACATCCAAATTAACCTCATTTTATTCTAACAAACAAAAATAATTGCTCATACTATCGAAAGTCTAATTCTAATGGCTTATCATCAAAGTATTTACTTAAGTTACATTAGCATCAGTTAATAACATTTGGGGAAGTCAAGCTTTATTGAATCTATGTGATATCGCATGAATTTTGCTTAGTGTTTATAAACTGTTAACTCTTCTTTGTTTAAAATTATTTACACTTCTTTCAACTTCCTGAAGTATCACTATATTGTCTTTCTTCCTAATTGTGTGTATCAATTACAACTGTTCAACTAAGGTATTTTCTCCATAAACTTAACTAGTTAACCATAAAATTTCCACAACATTTTAAAAATTAAATAACCTGCTCTTCGTTTAGGGACCATTCAGTTATAATACTGGCCATGTGGTAATTTAGGATCAATTTATCAAAAGACACATTTTTCTTCTGTTATCACTAATGTCTAACAAAATATTACTACCAACAGAACTACTGCATACACATAATATAACAGTAATTTACTAAGCTTCTTTCTAAAAACAAAATTACACTTCAAACCATATCCCTTTATAACGTTTTAGAGTCCCCACAATGGGATTTATTTCTGTATAGAGGAAAAGTAGGGGGAAGAAGGCTCTTCAGAGCTGTAAATCTTAGCGCTGGTGCAGAGGACAGGGCAGCCTCCCCCTTTGGCCTCCGGAGAGCCAGGAAACAGCGGTGCCCACCCAGAGTGCAGCCTGGATCCACCAGCTCCCCTTTGCCTCTGGCGTTCCCGAAACCCCTTGCCCCAGCTGTACACTTTTGTTTTGAAGAAAATTTAAAAAAAAATAAAAGTATGAATTATACTCTGCAAATAATGGCATTGGATTTCAAGCTTATGGCTTCGTTATTTTATTCTGAATTTTCTAAGACAAGACAACCCAACATTCATCTTCAGATGGCAGAGATAATCTCTGACGTTGGCACAGATGATTAACAGGGAGGTACCAGCTCTGTCCTTGTGCAAAAACCTCTCCTGTTTCTCTTTCTCTGAGTCATCCTTGGGTCTTCAGACCAATGATCAATTTCTGAGTCCACCCCGACTTCTGAACTGAATCCCCTCCCCCTGCTTAGGATTCCCACCTCATCAGCTGTCCAAGATGCAACCTTCATCTCACTTGTGGCATTGACTACTTTGGAAGGGTCACAGGCAGGGCCACATTAGTTTAGGGCACTGCACTTCTCAATGCCAGGAAGATACTGTTTTACAAATACCACACACACACTGGGGGACAGTGGTTGGATGGGGAAATGGTTCATACATTAACATGGCAGGATATATCATGATGAGTGATTCTGTGATGACAACTTGGATCTAATTTCATTTCTGTTTTGTGAATAAGAACATTGTGAATTTAACTATTATTAGAACCATAGTATGTGTAACATCTCACAAAGCTGATTTCAAGACACTACAGCATTGGGTTTCAGTGTGAGTCACTGGGGTAAAAAACCAGTCTCTGAAGGTCCTTAAATGCTCACTCCTGTATGGGAAAGACATATCCTATGTCTATTATGGTATGAACACATACATATAATTTTCCCTGTACATGTCAACATTAACATTTCATTATTGAAAACAAAACATTGTAAAAAACAAAAATTACAATCAGTCAGACAGCAGTAAAGAGAAATAGAGGTTGTATTGTCTTCTCTCCCGTTGCACTTGCGTGGGTGGGCTTAAATCCTCGGTTTGTGCTTTACTAGTTGTTTGTGGCCAGTGGTGTGGAAGTGGAGTGGGGCAGAAACCTGTTTGGACTGTTGACTCTTTTTTGGGGTGTCTTGTTTGCTTTGTTTTGTTTTTGTAAATTTTATTTTATTGGTAGATTTTAGGTATACAATATAATGACATACATCATTGGAAATTTGCACCTTTACGTAAGCTCGTTTGGTTCTTATCTTTTCCCCCTTCCCTTGCCCTTGCTTCAACCCCTCCATCCCTCCATATTTACAAACACTTTGTTTTCATTTTTTTCATTTTCTCCTATTAATTGTATTCCCTTCTTTCCTTTCCCCTACCCTTCACGCTTCGCCTTTGCCTATGCCCCTTTTCTTCCTATTTCACATTATCTATTATAACACTTAGTCCTTGTTTACACTTTTAGTTTCACACATTAAAGAAACTATTTGGTATTTACACATCTGTGGCCTATTTATTTCACTTAAGAGTATTGCCGCAATGTGCATCCATTTAGCAATAAATGTCTCTAATTTCTCATTTTTCATGGCCAAGTAGTACTCCAATTTTACTTAAAAACCACATTTTCTTTATCCAGTCTCCAGTTGATGGGCA